ACGTCTCAGTAGATCGAAGTATACGAGGTGAAATCCGAGAGGAGGAAGATCGAAGAATCGAAGAATCGAGGAGCAGCGTCGAGCCAACGACGCACGCGCTCCCACGCGCCGCCCGAAGACAGCGCGTGATCCTCACGCGCCGCCGTTGCTCACGCCGTCGCCGTCGCCGCTTCGCCGTTGCCGCTTCCAGATTGCACGGATTGGTTTCCGTGGCAATCTTGCTTCGTTTCGTGCGCCTACCTCACGCTTCAAGAAGTAAATTCTCGAATCCGGTATTCGTTAGATATTAATTTAATTAGATTAAATTTTTCATGATCGTTTTCGTAGTATATTTTATGAATTGTATGTTTTATATGAGTACATGAAATTCATGATTTACTGCGAGCACGTTAATTGATTTAATGCGAGCATGCTAATTGATTTACTGTCGATTAAATAATTCGCATGCATGTTGCTTTTAATTTCGCTGGAAGCGCAAATGTACGCAATTAATTGTTTATAATTATCGGGCATGTGATTATGTGTTTTAAATTCGTTTAAATCGCATAAATTTTTTGTTTTCCGCTGCGTACACATGTCCGATTCCCAACACTTACAGTACCAAAAAACATGCCGCATTGATGCTCTTTCTTGTACTTTCGAATGAAACAAAAACCATTCGACTTAGAAAGAGAAGCATGTATCCTCCACGAACACTGAGCCTCATGTTTAAATCTACACTCAGCAGTCACTCTGTACGCCTCGTTCTTCACATACGCGAACTCAAATCCCATGTCAACCGAAAACTTAATCAAGCATTTTATGAATTCATCAACTCCACCCAAAAAAACTTGTCCTACCTCTTTAATCAAATTAACACACTCAGCACTCAATAATTTCTTACCAACCGATGTGTCAACGATTCCCTCAACATTCATCTCATTTACTTTATCACGGGTAATTGAGCATGGTCAACACATAAAGGATTTGCGCCCACCAGAAAACGATTATTCTCTTTCATAATAACCTCAATGCGCTCTAACGACAACAACTTCATGATATCAAACATTGAAACCATGTCATCATCGTCCGACAGAATACACTCGCCGTAATCCACAAGGATATACGTTAATGTAATATTACATTTTTTCAACTATTTCCATTTAAGAATGACAAATTTCACCAGCTCTTTTAAAGTAAAAAAATCCGAATATCTTTTAAATCGACTGTACACATATTAAAACGACTATGTAGTTACATAGCAAACAGATCAAGCTCTGCTATGTGTACAAAAACGGATCAGTTTAACATAATTACATAGATGAACAAACACAGGCTCTGTTTACATAAACTTTTAGCACAAAACGACTGGAATTTAGCATCTGATCGTCAAACACACTACGGGCGAAAACATATACGTAACAAGCAAACAACAAAAAATTGAAAAATCGAAACGAACGTGGTCCTTTTAAGCCTAAAACACATAAAAAATCGACAAAACACTTGTGTAGAAAATCAGTCGAAAAAAATCGAACCTGAACTCAGTCGGAAAATCACCGTATGTGCAGTTGACTTCCTCGTCTGTTTCAATGTCCGTCGCCGTCGCCGATGCCACGTCTCCACGTCAGTCGTCGTTTCCATGTCTCCACGTCAGTCGCCGTTGCCACAGTTGACACATAAATCAGCACAAAAAATGGGTTTGATATGAGCAGAAACGTGAAACGTGAAAAAAAGCTTTAATAGTAATGAGAGTGTTTTTGGAATTAGGAAAATATCAATTGAGTTAAATATTACCTAGGAGATTTTTTCTAATTATTTTTAGAAGGGGATGTTTCCTTAACTCATTTTCCTAAATGAGGGGGTTTTCTCTAATTTTCCCTTTATTTTATGTAATCAAGATTGGCCGTGTGGTAGAAAAGTTAGACTTATATTCTGTACAAACCGGCAATTGATATTTTTTGGTTCAGTCGAACTTAACTTTTCAAAGTATGTACAAATAGAATAAAATACAACTAGATATAAATAAATAAGTTTATAAATGCCAAAGCACATTCTCATTAAAATGACAATACAAATTAGATTAATTAAAATGACATAAATAAATACATAAAAAATAGCTTTATGCATTAAAACCCAGACAACAATGCATAAAATACGAGGGTTATGTTAAGGCGGAGGATATTTGCAATCCCAAATCTTCTAAGGCCAAGACCTTACTTGGTGGAAGACCATAATATAAATAAAATTATTAAGAGCAAGACTGAAAATTACGAATATAACCCCAATTTTTTTTTGATATTATTCATTTCAAGGTAGGCCTAATTACTATTGCAAGATAAAAAAAAAAATTGAGAAACGAGAGGGAACGTTTTAGCGGGAGAAGAGAAGAACTTCCGCCGCAGGACTACCGCGCACCGCCATTTGAAACCCATTGCGCACTACTACCGCTTGACCGTTGTTGCCATACCACTGTCACCCAACCTTTGTGCAACTGCCAGTGCTTGAAGAGGCAGAGAAGAAGAAGATGGAGGAAGAAGTGGAGGAGGAGGAAGAGGGGGAGAAAAAGAAGGAGAGCATGAAGAATAGAAGAAGATAAAGAGAGGAAGAGGAAGAAGAACAAAAGGAAGAAGAAGAAGAAGAAGAAGACGACGAGAAGGAAGATGAAGAAAAAAAGAAAATTCGACCTGGACATGTTGATTTTTTGTTGAAAAATTAGATGTCGATTTTTTGGCAAAAATATCTAGATGTTGATTTTTGTCACAAAAATCGATATCTAGATGTTGATGTCGATTTTTTGCTAAAGAATCAACATCTCGATGTCGATTTTTGTGACAAAAATTGACATGTATCTGTCGAGTTTTGAATGCGCGAATTTTCTTTTTAAAAACTTAAAAAATCGATCACCTAGCTATAAAAATACATTAATCCATAGATTGTTTTCTACTTTTTTTTATAGAATCCCCCATATTAATGTCTTGTGACCCCATAACGTCATCAGTTGCATGTTATGGTAAGATTTTAGGGTTTTGGGTGTTGAAGAGTTTTGGAGAAGATGAAGATCATTTTTTGAAGAATTTGTGTGAAATGGGTTTGTAAAGAAGATAAAGTGGATTTTGTTGGTGTGGTCTTGCACAAAGGAATTTGTGAAGTTTTGTGATTGTGAATTATGTATTTTAATAAGAATATAATAGTATTTTAGTAATTCATTTGGTGGAAAATTAAATTTGGCATTCTCCTAAGTAATTTGTGCAATTGCATATAGTCGGTGGAGAATAAAATTTGGTTTTCCCGTAAGTGATTTGTGCGATTACATATAGACGTGGCCGTATGTTAATCCATTTTTTTAGCAATCATTGTCATCCTACCACCAATTTCACCTAGAACGTCAAAATCTAAGAGCGGGGCCAACTAAAGTTTTTAAAAACTCAAAATCAATCAATCCACAAATTCGGCCACATCGTTTGGAGTAATAATTTTTTTCCCTTTTTAAGTAACTAAAATCAAAATTATTGGTATATAAAAATACATGTTGATAACTTGATATAGTATCATAGAAATACATTATATAATATATTAAACAAATAAATATAAGGGGTTATTTTACATACCCCTAGCCACCAAATAAACTAGGGATAAACCCAAGCCCAAATCATCCTTTGACATACCTCCCTGGAGAAGCGAAAGTAGTATACTACCCTTATATGCAATTTTCGGCCAAACTGTATTCAGTATTTCTGGTCCTGCATTTATCATATTCGCTAATTTATTTATTATTATTTTCCACATATATATGTATATATATATATATATTTATTATTTTAATTTTTTTTAATTTTTCTTTTTTAATTTTCAAAACAATATGTTTACTGTACTGAAAATAACTACATGTAACTATAGTACCTATAGTAATTCATAGTTATGTTCGTTTCCCCCCCCCCTATTTTTAGTCGATCAATTGTATACACACACGAATACTGGCTTATACAAAATAAATTCATAAAACCCCAACAAAAATTTACAAATTTCAATATTTTTATTATAAATCACCTCAGAACCAATAAAATACAAATCGAAAATACACAAATATACGCATATGTAACTACATGTTACTATGTTACTATAGTAATGTATAGTAATGTATACAGTCTGTTGAACAAAGCAGATGTAACTTCAAAAAAAAAAATTTGACACCTTCAAGGAAAGGATCAATAACTTTCATTAAGCTGCAATTGCAAAATCAAAACAAAAAAAAAATTACTTTAGTTCAAATCAACAAAATTTGAAGAAACATCAAAACACTCAAAAATCAACAAACACTAAGAGATCGAGAGATAGAGAGAGAGGTTATTGCTGAGAAATGCTACAGATTTTAAATCAAATAGACAGTGACTCCTCACCCCCTCACCTCCTACCAAAACCCTAGACGCCGCTAATAACCACCCACGGTTCCGCGCACCCACAAATGCAAAAAAATATAGAAATAAATCTGAAAACATAAAAATAAACGAAATTATCATCAAAATATAAATCCCGACAAGATGAATTCAATGGTGGGTGTCCCGTCAAATTTCGACAGGTGGAACACAAAATAAAGCTCCGACAAGACCACCGTCGTCGAATGAAAAAAAAATTGCACAAACAGATCAGCGCTTGAAACTGAATGAAATCACCACCAAAAGAAAGAGCTCGACGAAAGGAATCCAACGGTAGTTAAACCATCGAATTCCGACCACTGGAAAGAGAGTTATGGCTCCGGGAAGCAATTTCGCCTGTGGGAGGTTTGTGGAGGCGGAATTTTGAATCTGGGAGAAGAGAGAGACCGAAATGTGAGTGGCTAGGGTTTAAAACTGATTTTAGAAGGGTATTATAGTAACTTCACAGTGGCCCAGGGGGGTATGTCAAAATATTTTCGAAATGAGGGGAGTTTCCCCTAGAGTGTAATCCACTTGGTAGTTAGTTCTATATAATTTGGAAATAAGGGGTCTACAAAATAACCCCTAAACATAAACATTATACAATTGAATGGAATAAGTACGCACTTTATTTGAAAACAACAATCCAATAACCACCACAGAGACCTATTTACAACTTAAAAGATTTCGGTGAAAAAATAGAAAGAGGAAAAAAAAAAAAAAAAAAAAAAACCAAGCTGTCTGAGATAACGACAACCTTACGAAGCTCGTCGGCATTGTTTCTAATAAGAAACTGAACTGAATCAAATAAGAAACACAATCAAAAACATTTTGGAGAGTAAAACTACAAGAATACAAAGATACTCTATCTACCTTATTCTCTCCTGAAGCCTTGCAGATCAACGTTCACATTTTCAAGTTCCACAGAGTAGAGAAACAATAGTTGTTGTAGACTAATATTAGACTGGTGTGCTAGAGTATAAAAGGGTAAAGAATTGTTCAACTTCCGGTATGCTTCGGGTAATTCGGATATACCTAAATCTATTATCTTCTCCGATAAGCGAGTCCGATATATGAGCTATTCTTGGTATAACTCTAGCTAGTGGGATCCCAGACATTAAATTGTTTTCTCCACAACTGATGCTTACATCTTTCAACACTCGCTTCACCACCGCCCCAAGTGATATGTCAACGATGTTGGCAAATTCAGCGCTGTCCAAAAACGTAACAAACACACACAACCATTAGTACATTCAGTCAGCATCTTCCAAAAAACCCGGAACAAACAAGCAAATAAGATGCTTATATTGAGCAAAAAGTAACGAAAAGCTTCTGTTATTTCGAAAGAATCAAAAGAAAAAAAGAAAAAAAACGGAGATTACTTAGGACTCTAGATTAAACTTAAAGTGGTGCAGATAAATCATACCTTAATAACACTGCACGTGTTTCTCCCATAAGTAAATCAAATTTCGTAGCACGAGAACGATCAGAGTAATCTTCAGGCATCAAATAACCCACCCAGTAATGAGGGCTTCGCATGATCATTAAAGTGTCCATTATCTGAATAATCGCATCATGAAGTGTCGAAACATTGAAGTAATCCTTCAGTTGCTTTCTGCACATGGGATTTCGATATTAACGTATTTACATTGCCGTTTAACGAACAATATTCTTATTGAATGGTAAAAGGAGTATGATTCAAGAAACAACAATTACATTAAACATGTAATAGGGGCAGTGGGAGTTTCAAAGACTTCATCTGGGACATAGCAAATCAGAATTTAAATAAGAATCCACATGCATTATGCATATGTGAAATCAAGAAATCGGGATAAGTAATTGACCTTAAGAGAGTAGTCCAAATAGAAATTCATAACTCAACTCGGAAATAAAGCCACTAACAAACAAACAACAAGAGAACATTTATGTTGGAATGGAAAACTGGAAAGCAGACAAGACAGCGCAAAGAACTTTTAACTTGCTTCACTACCAAATATAGGAGGAAGCAAACCACCTCATCTTGTGACAAAACTTGATGGAATTACACAAGGCAAAACTAAATCACCTTAATTTACGAAAACGATCAGAACAATCTGAAACTGTGAAAAATTGCCGATATCAGTAGTACCAAGTTTTTGTAGCCCTGATCAGTTACCTACCACCCTAACTTTCTATGACGTGTAAATAATTATATCAGCTGCAGATTCAATCAGTGTATTTAGGAAAAGAATATAATAAAAGAGAAATAACCTCCTCTTCCGGACTAGCTAAAGAAATTGACTCTCGAAATATATCATTATTTGGGGCTTATGATAAGTTCAAACGACTAAGTTTGTTGAAGATTTACGTACATTAGTTCCATAAGTATTTACCTTCAGTTATACATAACATGTCAGAGTACTCACGAGACATACAAGCTCAATCCTATTTGTACCTAATTCATATAATCACTCATGGACAAGAAACTAGCACATGATGAGTTGAGAGAGTAGCCAAGTAGATAAACTTAATGTGTGCCCCGTTTCTTATAAATCTTTCCGTTTTCCTTTCCAAGTTAGAAATCAAAAGCTTTTTTGGAATTTTTTTGAAACACATTACACTTTTCTCTCTCCTTGAGACGTAATTTTACTCTACAACAAATGTATTCACTAAAATACAAACAAACATCACCTTAAAATTTAAAAAAAAATCTCCCAAAACACTTTTGCTCGCTACACTTCTAAAATATGACTATCAACGTAAATTGTTTCTTCTCAAAATACAATCAAACATTAATTTGTTTCTCAAATTCTTCTCCGTAACATCTTTCTCCGTTATAAAATTGGAAATATAACTCTAAAAGGGAATTAAATGACCCTGCTTACCAGAAAATTAACTACCGTAACACTTCGCAAAAATAAACCATCTTCCAGTTTTAAAGATGTGCCCAGAGATTAAAAAAAAAACATTGAAATTTCAATCATTTCCTTAAGACAAATGGTTGATGCTTTTATATTTTTTTCTCATTTTTCTTCTAGAAGCCCTTACTACCATACTTTCACATCTACAACAAGATTCCACAAATCTGTTACAAACAAAAATAATGATCGAGACCATCAAACAAATCATATTTTTCCAAGAATCCAATTCTCCGTCTAAAATTTTTCAAGCATTAATGTCAACTACTCATCATATCAGCTACCTTCTTCGGGCCCTACCTGGTGGTTTAGGATGATTAAAATAATAGAATCCCTCGTCTTAATGCACCATATTAGATTGTACAACATGGGGTTGTAAGGCTGATCGGGTGCTGGAACGATTAAAGGAATCATAGATACATGCTAAAGCATGAAAGAAAAACTTCTAGGACAAAATTGAGCACAACAATAAAACATGTCAAATACTTCAGTCATGATTACCTTACATGATAAATGCCCTGAAGGAGAGAATCTATGTTAATGCTCATTTGAAGCAGGAAACAATAATTATGTGCTGAATATGACAAGTTTATATGAAATAATTGAGAAAGGTTATAAGTGAGGAGAAGAAGAGACGATGGTATAATTTTAGAGATCCTTACAACTGAAGGAAAACATCCCAAAATGTTATCTGTCATTCAAAGTAGTTTCTTTCAAAGACTACACAAGCTGGAGGTTAAATGGGGCATGAGTTTACTTTTCGGCCAGAGTTTTCAGATAACATGTCATTGGTCATATCAAGGGTGTACACATGCGCAGATTAAATTGAGTCTTTACATGAAAGAAGCTGTTGAAACTAGGGAAGAACGTAGCTTCAATAACAGTTGAAAATTTCAGGGCTGTCAAAGCTCTTAGAAGAAGCCTTTTCAGAATACTAAACAACGAAAACAAAGTGACAAAAGCATATGAAGTATGAACAATCAGACAGCAAAAAAAAAAAAAAAAAAAAACATATGAACGTGGAAAACAGAATTCCTCCACTAAAGTAAAAACATAAATATGCACAAACCCAATTAGGTATTAATACATCTAAAGACATACCCCTTGAGGACTTCCGACGTTGCTGCCTCTGCATTAGCTAACAAGGCAGGCAGGCCATAATTGGAAAGGTAATAAGCAGAGTCCATAAACTGCTCTTCATCATTTTTGTCAATTAGTTCAGCTTCATCCTGGATCGCATAAATGAGACATTTTTCAGATAAACATCTAAAGATCAGACTAATACAAACTCTTCCTACATCCAATAACTACAGCAAGCTCACTGGAATCTCGAAGTTCTTCACTGGAATACCACTGAATAAACATTGTAAAAAGCACCGGACATGCTCACTGATACAAAAATATTATTGGGTTTTTTTACGCAAATGATTTTAATTTAAACGGAAAGAGGAAAAAGGCAATGATGACTTAAAAATACACATAAAACAATTGATGCCTGAAATAATCTGATCAGATTTACTTAATATTGAATAACAAACATCCAGATGTTACAAACAAGCAGACATCCAATTTATAATTAACAGTGTATGTCTCCCTATTCAACACCAGCCCCACCAATTAGCAACCCAGAAAGCAAGGAAATAACGAAAAAAGATGATGGTCACAAATGAGAACGTGGTCAAAACTAGATAACAGGTTTGGATTTTAGCTGTAGAGACTTAAGTTTGAGTCTGAGTTGTTATGGGTCAATCATTTGATGCACTATTGCATGGGTTTACTATTCCAGTACTACATAGGTGTACCTTTATACTTCGGATGAGCAAAACTGAGGTAATATTCTTTCCTAGAAGAGGAAAACTGTGAGCTGTTTCTTTATGCAAAATTAAGATAAATATTAAGTACAGAGACGTGCGTTTATGCTGGAGTATATTATCACTTCACCTAGAGACCTAGAGAGTATCATGTAAGAGAACACTTCAATCTTCAGCGTATAAGCAATTTTTTATTGGTGAATATCTCTCCTATGATTATAAACAGAACGCTGAGCAGATGGATAAAAGAAATCTAGTTTTTTTTACCAGTAACAGATGCAGACAGTAAAGAACAAAAAACTTAAAAGGCATGAAACGAATTAAATTAAATATTATTTTCTTTCGAACGGATAATTTTATTTCCTGCCATGTTTCCGCAGCACAGTTACTTTGCTCAACATCTAATACTTGAGAAGGATAAAATTCCGTCTTGTCAGAGAGTTGACACATACAGAGAATGTTTTGGTCCCTTGTATCAATTATCATGCTATTAGTAAAAGTTAAAACAGTTTTAAACACGAAGTCTTCTTAATGGTGTCCAGTGTCTACAGCATATTACTAACTTAACCCCACAAATTGCACATGCATAAAACAAAACTAATAAGCAGTGAAAAAATGGAATCAGATCCAAGCGATTATGAATTAGTAAATTCTATCCAATAAACCCACAATATAATCCAGATAAAGTACCAACACAACATCTCACTTTTGAACAAAACTGTTCTAAAAGATAGATAAGTTGGTAAATGCACACAAGTACCAGCAAATACCATCACATGCACTAGGATTAAACAACAAAATCTTATCCTAGTGTTCTATTTGCAGAAAGAAAATAATAAACGATAGAAGTTGAAATAAGGGAGAAGCCGATTAGATAGGCCTCTTACTAACGACAATCCTATTCCAGTTCAGGCTTCTAAAAGACTGTTTCTACTCTTAAGATAGATTTTTCCTCCAAGCTATTCACACACATGAAGATTGTCGCTCAAGTTTGAGTACATTAGGGGGGGGGGGGGGGGGGGGGGGGGGGGGGTTTCCCCCCCCCTAAAGGCTTTTTTATGGGGGAAAATTTAAAAAAACCGGGCTTTTGCTTTTTTTTAACCCAAACACCCAAAAGAAAAAAAAACCCCCCCCAAATTTTTTTGGGGCCCAAGGGTTTTTTTTAAAAAAAAATTTTTTTTTCAAGCGCTGGAAAAATTCCCAAACCCCCGGGGGGATAAAAAAAAAAAAGTCCCCCCCAAATTTGGGTTTTTCCCCCAAAAAAAAGGGCCCCCAAATTTTTTTGCCAAAAAAAAAAACCCCTTTTTTTAAAACCCGGGAAAACCCCCCCGTTTTTAAAATCCAAAAAACCCTTTTTTTTTGAAAATTTTAAGGGGAAAAAAATTTTTTTTTGGGTCAACCCAAAAAAAAAAAAGGGTGGGCCCCACCCCCAAAATTTGGGCTTTTCCCCCCCCCCTGGTTTTCCTTCCCCCAAAAAAAGGGTCGGGGAGCCCCCCCCCTGGGTAAAACCCCCCCAAAAAAGGGGAGGGGC